GCGACTGTGTCCACATTGCAATTATACGTAGATTTTTGGCTTGCTAACGACCATGCAGGATATTGTGGTTTTATAATAATCACCATAAAACTTTAAAGGGCTTATGTAGAATGAATATTTTACGCAAACTCAACGATCCCGTATAATGGGTTAATTTTGAATTGTTAAGTATGTTGTATTTTCAAATTTCCAAAGAAAAAAGTCAATATATGTGAATTATTTATTGTGATATTTACACATATCAAATTCAAATCTTAATTATTATCGCTTTTATATTAATATCATACGATTACTTAAATAATTTGACACAAAATTATTTTAATAGTGTAAGTATACAATTTACAAGAAAATTTAAGTATATAATTAAAAATAATAATTTATTATGAACTATTCACAGGATTAATAGTTTATTTTTATATAGTTAACATATAATTTAACTATCACAAACGAATTTTGCGATAACATCTTCTGATAAAAAATCATATGAGCCATTTTAAACTATGAGCACTGATATATTTTTATCACAGTACAGTTGAAACAAATTTTCGCTCAATTCAAGACCTTTAATACTTATACATACATTTTATTAAACATATATCTGTAAATATTCTAAAAATACAATACTATAAAAGCTAAAAATCATTCAACTTTATATTTAACAAAGATAAAGTTAATAATCTAATCTATATATGTTGGCAATAAAAAAACGATGAACATTTATCATCAAAAATAATTTTTTCTTTTTGTTATACAAATTAAAATTTTATTATAATTTTTTTTCAAATTGTTATGTATATGATGTTTAATTTTTTAATGATAATAAAATAAACCTTACTATTAAAAAAAGCTATGTTCAACCTATTGTTTTACCTTACTTGCTAGTATTTGGAAGTAATGTGTATTTTAATTTTCACAGTTCAATTAAAATGTTTAATAATGAATGTATTTGGTAGTTGTTAATAGAAGTTTTTATCATAAGCCCTACAAAAGCAATAGATATAATTTTATTTGTGAGCCGGTAAAATTTTATTATGTCATTTCACAACAGAACATTAATGCAAAAACAATAGATTGTATAGTAGGTAAATAAAATGTATAATCTATAACAATTTTTAAACAAGATAATTTTAATAATTTAATTTTAGTTTAACATATATATATATTGTGAGAACTAATCGTTTAATGGACATCATTGGATGATTACCTGTAATTTAATCCAATTATCTTTTATTGATAGTGATCAATACTATTAAATATTAATCTATTATATAGTTAATGGATTTATTCCAAGTCATTCAAAATTATCTTAAAAATAAAATTTATCTTCAATGTATTTATAGTCTTTTTATATTTAAATATAAATTTACTAAAGAATGGATATATTACCAAAAAAAATTCATGCCATCTAAATTTTGAATGTCACCATTGGGAAAACTTGAATGAACGAGTTGCATAATGTTATTATTGCAATCATTATTGTTATAATAATAATCACGATAACCATTGTACAATTATACAACTATTGTACCATGAGATAAATATTTATTATCATAAATTTGTTATAACTTTCCAACTATAACCATTTCAAGATAATAATCTAAGTATGTTTATTTCTGATGTATTCAGCACAAATTAAACAAAGGGCGTCCTCAGGAGGAAGTATAGGAATCAAACGCCTGCATGATAATAATATTTGCGCACTAAAGATATAACTGTTAGGAAGGAGTAAAAATATTTTATATATATACTTTCTGTGATAAATTTTTAAAGATGTCATAAAACCAAAATGCACATTAAATATCTAACAATTTAGTATGAACTTTATAAATTTTGATATAAAAATTATTGGATTTCAAATAAAAAATATCCAAATAAGGAACTAACAAATTATAATAATTTTTAAATACATGATTTGCATTAATACAAGTTTTTGTTGTTGATTTATGCATCAAATGCTTAAGAAAGCAAGGAAATACCCCACGAAAAACTTAAACATTTTAAATTAATTTAATTTAATTGAAATTTTGATCATTTTTTTCAGTTAAAATATATAGAGTAATTTATTTACTACGAATCACTTAATTAGTCAAAAAATAATAATAATAATTTTGGACATTTATTTTAAATTTATGTTTATATAAAAAAGTATAGAAAAAAGAAGAACAAATTGTGTATAGTAATTATAGTTTTGGAGGAGCGTCGAATAGAGTACTGATAAAGGTTTAAAAAATGGGTTTAATAAGAAAAAGAGTCCCAAAAAACCCAGCACAGGAGGGTCGCGGCACAGTGGTGACGTGGCATAGTTGGATCAAGTATAATGATATCTGACAGTGATTAAAATCACTATCAAAAATAAACGCTTCGATGCAAATCTTTAGATAGTGTTTAATTTTAAAAAAATTGGTGTTTTATTCCAAAAGCTACTTGATCTGCTGGTTCCTTATTAATATCTCGATTAAGATAAAGTATGTCGAATGAAAAAGGGTTTATTAAAAAATATTATTTCTCATAAAAAAATTGTGTGGATCCATAAACTTTTCAATAAGTTATAGCATTATAAAGTTAAATATAATATAAATAATAAAATCGAGAATTTTCACACGAAAATAGCATTCGGTAGCCATTTTCGCCGTGAAGACAAGTCCAGAGGTCAAATTTTTTTTTTTCAAATTAAAGTATATTACATTAGCTTTAATTTAAGATATATATAAAAGTGTCAGACCTTCCGGAACATTTTCAAAAGTTAAGTTGAAAAAGTTAATTTTTTGTGAAAAAGTTGTCATTTTAAATCCCCCCCTGTGGGCAGAAAAAAGGTCAAATTTACAAAAAAAATATACCAAATAATAGGTAAAGACATCAAGCATCTATAAAAAAAAAAATTATATTGATATGTTCATTTTTGAAAAAGTTACGGCAGTTTTTAGTAAAAAAAATTGAAAAAATTTCGAAAATTAGCGATTTTTAAATTTGTAATTTTTTTGGAGGTTTCCCCCATTTACGGGGAACGAGGGAAATTTTTTCAATTTTGAAGGAGTAATGTCTTCGACTAGATACGATTTGTGATCTTTTGACGTATCGTTGAAAGAAATCCGTTCGGTGAGAGCTGAGAAAAAGTGGTAACAGACAAAAAAAAAAAAAAAACACATCATAGTAAAACCAATATTTTCTAAGCTTCGCATCGAAGCTAATAATGGATTAATGTAATAAAAGATATGCATGATGGTAATTGTACCAATGTAAAAAGTGTGGGCGGAATAACAATAGATTTTAAGTCAAGAGCTTGAATGCACTATGGTTTTACTTTAAGTTCTTAATTTTTTTTGAATAATGCTAAATGATATTACTAGAGAAATAAAAGGAGAGGTACCATGGGAAATGATATTCGTTGACGATATAGTGCTAATTGATGAAAATAGGAGCGGTGGGAAGTTTTAATTATTTAGGATCTTAAATTTTTGCAGTTGTGCAAAAGAACGGTGTTATTGAGAAGAATATAAGACACAAAATTAAAATTAGACGTTTCTTTTATGTTTCTCTCAACTTATAATTCATAAAGAATTTTTTATATTGAAAGTGTAGTTTGGCGCAGTGAATTATTATGTCGCTTCTTTAGCCTTACTTAATGTTCAACTGCGATTTTACAGCTAGTTCCCGGATGGGTGACAATTCGGAGACTTTAACAGACACATACTTTGCCCCCATACTTATTGCCTTATAATGGAGTTGCGTCAGGTCGACACCCGATGTAAATTTCCGTTAAATCATTATGAATGATTTGACCTTAAATAGCTGGAATAAAGGTGATGATGATATTTGAATTGATCATATACCATGCGATGGTTAAATTTAAAATATTGTAATACCTAAGTTGATAAGGAAGTAAAGGGTATGTCGAACCACAAAATAATGAATTTTGAATTATTATATGTAGAATCATTCTGTATAATAAGTATAAATAATTTTTAATTTTTACAAAACAGCCCATTGGGTAATATTAAACAATATTTTAAGTGTTACCTCGCATTAATTTGGATATGACACACATTTATTTTAAATTGATCTGAATAAAGATATTTGGTTTAGTTTTTAAAATTAAAATTCAATAACAACATATCACTATTATAAGAAATAAACTTTTAAATATAGTTATTATAGCTTGAATACAGTCTGTCAAATATTTCAGTAATCTCATTACACAACATCTTTAATTGTAGAGCTAAGACAATAATCGTTTTAACTTATGATATGTGGTAAGATTAAGAATTTATAATTTTAATCAATTTGTTATTATTTGTAGTTAAATTATTTTATTATTTATTTAATATCAACATAATTACTTCAAGTGAAACCATACTATTTAAAAAATATAAATATATTTTTATATAGAATTTTATATGGGATTTCCTATATAAAATAACTATTACTCTAAAGTAATATAATTTGATATTAATGTGTTAAAGCTTTCGTAGATTGTTGTATTGCTTGAAATATTTACAGATGTATCTACGTTTTCAATTATAAGATGACATTTCGGATTCGTTGCAGAGTCCATCTTCAAAACGAAAGTAACAGGTTCGTGATTGTAACTATACTGTCGGCTTAACTTGTTTACAGTATGTTTTTATATCAGTTGATAATTGATAACATCAATGTTGTTTATTTTTTGTTGTTTTTGTCGTGTTAACAACTGTCAGTTTGTTGTTTATATCCGGTTTTTATTTTTGTTGTTCTATGCAACATTCTTGGCGTTCAGCTTTTCATTAACATAACAGAAAATTGCCGGTGTAGAAAAGGAAGATAAACAACATTGATGCTATCAGTAATCAACTGATACAAAAACATACTGTAAACAAGCTAAGCCAACAGTATAGTTACAACGACTATACTCTTATACGAATCCAAAACATCCGAATATGTGGATACTTTCGTAAACATTTCAAGCAAATTAATTTATTTGCTCTAAAATCTTCGACATAATGTAAAAAATATACTCAACTTACCATTAGAATTAATGAAATCGATACAGTTCAATGACATTAAAAAACAAGCTGTTTTGACGTACAAATTGTTCATACTGATTATAGATACTTCTGCAACAATAAAATTAAATATTACTATCATCGATGATTATTAGAAATAATTATTTTAACGTATATATCAGACTACGTGCAAGAAGGCTTTACATCAAAATTCATACCATCTGATATTTTGGCATAAATCAGTGTAGTTTATTATTTTAAAACTAAATATGCAAATTACAAGTATAAAGTTTAACTTGATATGAATATAAATATTATAAATAAAGTAACACATTATATAACTTATGAATAATCGATACTTTGAAGTCAAAGATGCTTAAACAAGATAATCTTTTTGGAATTAAAAAATTATACAAAATTTTTATATATTTTTAATTATATACGGTGATTTTTTATTATAAACCACTCAATTATTCTCAAAATAAATGCAATGTTAAAAAATATTTTTTGATTTAATTTGTTTGTATATATTGTATATCTCTTGATTTAACAACTAATAATTATTGTTTAGAATCATCCCTTATAACTGAGAGGGGTATGAACTTTATTTTTTTAAATGTTAGCATTAATACCTAATAGCATATGAAATACTTTATTACATTAAATTGTTCATAACTTCTGAAAGTTTTATCAATACTGTCATTTTCTTACTCGTATAATTATTTATTAAATAAGCTAATAAAATATATATGTTGCCAGTTGAAAAAATAAAGTATTATTTGAATATAAGATTTTTTTTATATAAAATATTTTGATTGTAATTAGTTAAACCAACTTAGTTATTGAATAAAAATAAATCTAATTGTTATTCAAGACCATATCAAGTGAATTTCTCCTTTTAAATATTTTTACACAATTTTTTTTTAATTACACGATAGACCAATTAAAAATTGAATATTACACTAAAGAATTCTTAAGGAACAGAGAAGTCTCCTTTTATATATATATATTATAAATTTTTAAGCATAACCTAAATTTAACTAAGGCATGGTAACTTCCTAATCACTTGTTTATATAGCTAATCATAGAATAGTTCAATTATAAAGTACACACTGTCATATTCACGCAATATTATTATATAAATACCTTATTAAATATACTTAAGTAATAATTTAAAAATTCACTTTTATTGTATATCTTACACAACAGGTGGCTCTCTTCTCAATAAAATTAAACAGAGTATAATATAACATGGCAATCTAAATGCAATAGTAAATACAAACCTCTAAATTGTCAATAAATTAATTGTGTATTCAAACAAATTCACTAAGACTAACCAAAATACTAATTTAACAAACTTAACTCATAAAAAACCTGAAAAAATAAAAACATATTGTTTAACTAATAAATGAAAAGCTTTGTGGAAACCACCACAAGCAATAAAACACCGAAAATGAACCAATCGATTGGACTATCAATTGTAGGCGGTATCAAACAAGTTTATTTCTTATTTGTCAAAAATAGAGAACGAGTTAGTAGAAAATCATCCAAAATTCTTAGTCAATGAAATCGAAATTTCGATTAGAAAATCAGTAAACCTATCTAAAAGAATTATCCAATCATACCTGTGATGGTGTCACGTTACCATTATTGTAAGAATTATTTTAATAAAATACAGACAGCACATCCGCTCCCTGAGACTGATGAATTAACAAACAATATTTATTGCCAAATTGGTAATAGTTCAAATTATTATAAAAACCCAAAAGACCAAAAAACCATCTTGGTCAGTCGACTCCAGTGCCTTGTGTCAATCATCAGTCTCAGTACTTGACTGTCGCTGTCCGGCTTACTGCTTAAAGTATAGTCTTTGTTTTTTCCTTTTTAAACCTATCTACTCTCTTCCACAACATTTCAGAGTACTTGGATCTTGCTCTTCGTCTGCACCTCACACCTAGGTGTTATCCTTATTCCCTTCCTATAACAACAGCCTTTCGACACCGACAGCTAACCCGGAGTGTTAGCCGAGCACGGTGATTGCTGTACGACAACACGCACGTGAATACCTAGACAGCAGGCACCACATACTCATCTTCATCTTCGCACACATTGCATTCCACTTCCCTCTTATTGTGTTACGACATACCTAATGATGATGTATTACAATCTCTACATGATTTAAAAATAACTCCACAAAAAGAATATCTTCACAAATCATGGATATAAAATTGAGTTTTCTTTGACCATTTTGCACTTTCTTAGAGTTACAGTTGCTAGTTATATATTAAAACAGCTTTTCGTATCATTATAACTGACGAATCTCTTACTTGCTTTTTGTGCAAAAATAAGGTCATATATCCTCATTGTGTCAATCAATATTGTAAATTTTATTAGAATTCATAAAATGGTATTGTTAAGATAATATGCACTCAGGAAATTTAATAGTTATTATTTACAGTAAATTTATTAGAAAAGCTCAAATTTCGTTAAAATTACTATCTTTTGCATTTTTATCGTAATTAATAATTTAAATAGAAACCAAAATCATTTCTATGTTACTTGAAAAGTGTTTAAAAATATTATGTAATTAAAATGTTCAGAAACTAATTAATTATTCAAAGTTAACCAAAAATATCTAGATTAAAATGAAATTTAATAACACATCAGCGGATGAAATCAGGTGAAACTAAGACAGGTACGACTATGGTCTGACCTATTATTTAGGATCCTTTTCATATAATAATTGTAAAACTCTACCAGGTGGGATTACCACAAAAATAATACTACAAAATTGTTGAATGTAAATTATGATAATGTAAGAATTATATAAATCAAATAATAACAGCTATAAAAGTAAGGAAAAAAATTCTAAACAATAATAAATAGTATTAAAAATTTCTTTCATATTTAAAACAAAATATATTATAATGTATTTCAAATTCATAAGTCTGAAATTTTATCAATGTAAGTGATTATTACGACCCATTAGTGATCTTGTAAAAATAATTTTGAACATTGATTATTAGTAATCAAACATTTTTATCTAACTACATTGATTCGCCTATTTTTAATTACAAATACTAGAACGGAATCTAAAAGTTTTTATATTTTATAGACATTCTATAAAGAAGCTTTTAGTTTTCGAATAGCCAGATAAATAAATAAAATAAATTTGGGAGGGCTAATTGAATTTATCATTTATAATATCTTTATTTAACTGGTAGTTTAAGATCTCTTAGTGTCACTAAGAGAGAACAACAAAAATCAATTCATTGAGAATTCGATCCAAATTTAATTAGCTTGGTCCAACAAAACAGGTAAAGTTTCGCACATGAACTAAATAATAACAAGTTATGTAGGAAAATCAATATTTTACTTAAAAAAATACGTTACCAGTAGAATATATTATATACAGTATAACAATATAAATTAATTGTTTGAAAGTTGAGCTAAAAGAGTGTTTAAAAGTTGAACATTTTAAAATTATAAACTTTGTTAAAAATTAAGAATAAAAAAATAAGTTATACATAACATTTTGAACAAATTTTTGAACGACTTATTTATAACATTAAATGTCAAGAATAACTTGATAACAAATTTTTTTTCTAATTAATTAATTTATAAGTAAATACTCGTATTCTTATTAGTGATAATCTAAAAAAGAGGTGATAGAAAAAATTTGAAGTTAAATTTGATATCAGCCCAAAAATTTGGTTTAAAAAATATATATTGGTCTAAAATCATTAAAAAATGTTTAATTCAATATAAAAACGAATTTTATGCTCTTGTTATTTGTGGAGATATTTAATTTAAAAAGTTTGTTTGAAGTTGCAATTTTTTACAGTAGGGTAATTTTTAAATTAATAAATTAATTCGACTAAATTAAAAAAATTAAGGGGTTTTATCCGATATGACTAGACTAAAATCGTGTTCTTTAGACGTTTTAATCGCTAAAATTATACTAGACAAGACTTATCACTAATATAGATTAATGCAGTCAGGAAATTGTATAGTTATTATTATACAACACATTAATGAGAAAAACATTTCTACGTAACTATGGTGTTTAAAAAAATTCTTCAATTGAAATATTCAGAACTTAATTAATTTTGTTGCTTTACTTTAACTAAAAAACTTTAACTTCAAAAGTTACTCTTCGTCAAAAAATTGCTATTTTGAATCTTCTCTGTGGACAGGCAAAGGGTTAGGTTTCCCAAAAATTTATTTTTAATGAAAGGGAAACACCTAAATTATTTATTATTATTTTTATTAGTCCAATTTTTAAAAAATGAATTTAAAATTTTTTAAATAAAAAATTTTTTTAAAAATGTTGAAATTTACTGATTTTAGAGATCGTAATATTTGGAGGGATATCCCTCATTTACAAGGAAAAAGGAAAAGTTTTTCAATTTTTAAAAAAAATATCTTCAACGATATACAATGTGTGGTCTTTTGACGAATCACTTAAAAAAATGGGTCCGATAAAGCTGAGAAGAAGTAGCAAGAGACACAAAAAAATACATTATAGTAAAGTTAATACCTTCTTAGCTTCGCATCTAAGCTAAAAAATGTACACCTACAACTTTTATTCTAAAGAATGTGATTAACGCCTCTGTGCGATCGACAAACGTCAAACAAAGCGTAATACTATTCTACCTTATTTCTATTTGTTTGCTTCAAGCTGACAAATTATTTGATAGTAGTTTGATCATTACTTGCAAGACATTGAAATACCATAATTTGACTATTGGATATTGATTTGTCACGTCTGACGTCGTAAATCAAAGTAGTCAACACCGTTTCACAAAAGTAGCGTAAACCCGTTTATTGTGGTAAACACTTATAAGTTTCACAGTATTTAATACTAAAAAAAAAATGTCAAACAGAAGTAAGGAAACTATTACACAGCAATAAATAAAGAAAATGTTGCTCAGAAGTAGAACAAATTGATACAAGCTTATTGAGGCGTCGTGAATACTCCGGCGGTGTCGGTTGGGGGAAGCGTATCAGGCGATGTCGAGAAGATAACTTCAACATATATCTGCGTATATCATATAAGTATACCAGGAAAGTATATTCTTCATAAATCATGGTAACTAATAAACAAATAA